GCACACTGTGGTGCACGCAAGCATTGTGGTGTACACAAGCGTTGTATTGCATGCAAATGGTTGCTGCTTCCCTCCTTCTCTCTTTCTTCCTTCTCTCTTCCCTCTGAGAATTCCAATGTGGGGGCTGGGCGCCCAGAAGCACCTGGACGATAATTTTTTTTGGATCGCCGAATCACCGGATAAGCAGTCCACTCAACCGGATCAACAAGATCAACCAAATCACCAAATCCATTGGCCAGAACACCAGATCACCGGATCAGCCGGATCTTTGGATCAACTGGCCACAACACTCGATCCCCGGATTACCGGATCAACTGACCCGATCACCAAATCAGCCGGATCACCGGATCAGTTTGGCCACAACGCCGGATCATTGGAGCAACTGGCCACAACCCCGGATAATCGGATCATCGCATCACCGAGTCTGGCCCGATCAGGTAGATCACCAGACCAGATCAGCCAGATCACCGGATCAGCCGGATCAACTGGCCAAAACGCCAAATCATTGGATCACCGGATCAGCTGACCGGATCACCAAATCAACCAAATCTCCCGGATCACCGGATCAGCTGGCCACAATACCGGGTCACCGGATCACCAGGTCACCAGATCAGCTGGCTGGATCACTGGATCAGCCAGATCATTGAACATCTACGAAAATAAGCCGCCCCCAATAGGAGAGTACAAGAGGGGAGGAAGGCGGAGTCTCTGACTCGGCGGGCGGAGTCTCTGTTTCAGCGGGCGGACTTGCTGATTCGGCGGGCAGAGTCTTTGATTCGGCGGGCAGAGTCTCTGTTTCGACGCGCGGAGTCTCTGATTCGGCGCGCGGAGTCTCTTATTCGGCGCGCGGAGTCTCTGATTCGGCGCGCGGAGTCTCTGGTTCGGCGTGCGGGGTCTCTGGTTCGGCGTGCGGGGTCTTTGATTCGGCGCGCGGAGTCTCTGATTCGGTGTGCGGAGTCTTTGATTCTGCGTGCGGAGTCTCTGATTCAGTGTGTACTGTCTGTGATTCGGCGCGCGCGGTCTGTGACTCGCCGCGCGCGGTCTATGATTCAACGTTTGGTCTGTGATTCGGAACCTCCCACATATCGTTTGGTTTGTGATTCGGAACCTCCCACACATCGGTATCCGGATCCACCCACATCGGTTTCCGTATCCGCCCTCACCGATTTCCGTATCCACCCACATCAATTCCCCTATCCACCAACACCAATTTCCGTATCCACCCTTACTGGTTGGTGTGTCCACCGACACTGAGTTCTGTATCCTTCCATGCTGGTTTCCATATTCAAAAACACCGAGAAACCCGAGAGAGGTTTTTGAGGTATAGCAATGGATTGCCGAGGAATTCGTTTTGTGGTTACGGGGGGATAGGACAAAGAAAAGCAAGAAATCGGAACGAGGAGGGAGAAGGGAGGCCCGCAATCTCTGGCGCAGAAGCGGCCGCCCGCTGGGAGCAGCGGAGACAATGTGTACAATGGCGCTAGTATAGACGCATGGCAGTACAACTTGCCAACCATCAAACAAAAACATAATATTCGCATGAGCAATCCGAGTTTGCCAACGCTTTTTGGAAGGAGCGTTCTTGACGGTTCAATTTTCGTGGGATGTTTGTAGCGGCAGGTCGCGTTAAATTTCAAATTACGTCTCATCTTGTTCGTACAGGTCAACCCGGGTGATCCCAACCCGAGTTGTACGTCTCTTCGATCCAAAATGAATGAACCAATTCTTGTAGCTCTCCGAAGGTCGCAAAAATGAGTTCACGAGCTCATTGTAAATAAACGTGGTCCCTGGCGTCAGTCCTTTTGAAGTCAGCACTCGGGCAGCGTGATCGAGTCGTTAGACAAGCCCCATCGTTTTGGTAATGTTTTCCCTATTCGCAGCTTCCTCCGTTAGTGTAGGTCGGCGTTATTGGTTCGGGGGTCGTCGGCGACCTGCACGGTGGCAAATTTTGCTGAACAACTCATCCCAGCGTCCAGCACTTAACAACGCAATGCGCTGTCGTAAGTACCGCCCGCCTGCTTGACTACCTGGGGCCGTCGGGTGGAGCAGCATGCGCGGAAGCAGCAAAAACAATATCCAAGGCCGCACGCAGTCCCCTTCACCATTGTCATCCTGATCCCACCGCAACTGCGTTCTCTAGGCTCTAGGTCAAAATCCTCAGGAAAGGCTCCCTGATGCACTTGGGGATCGATTTGGAGGTAAAAGCTGCGATGTTGATTTCTGCCCGGATGTCGATCGCATCAACATTTTCCACCCGTCCGGAAGCCTGGCGATTCCAGCCATAACGAAAAATCGTTCTTGCTGCCGGCACACGTCAACCACCATCCATCCCTCCATCGACCGTTCTAACTGCTGCCGGCACACTTCAACCACCATCCTACCATCGACCGTTCTTGGCGGCACCTGGTCCAATGATACATTGACGAATCGCAGAAATTTGCGTCACGGCATCAAACAAGGATATCTGGGGAGCTCACTGTTTGCATGGTGAAACGTCATGTGGGTCGGCGGCTACACCTGGGGATTGTTGTCCTACCTTATTTTTGCTGGAACGCGGTGGTTCCTGATTGTTGCTGGCAGGGCCCCTCCTGATTCTCCACCCTCGCCCCGAACGCTTGTGTTGATAACATTGTCGTTGTTCTCGTCATCGCAGTCGTCGTCCAAATCACTCATAATCAGAGAATGAATGGATTCGGTTTGTGTTCGGGATTCGGTTTTCTGCTATGGGGCCAAGGAGGCCAGGCGGACAGCGACGACGACGAGGGTGACGAGGACGAGGGGGAGAAAGAAGGAGACGACGACGAGGGGCGGAAGGCCAGCACCCCCATCCGTCCTATCGGCCCAAGCCAAGAGCAAGGGCAGAAGGAAGAAACGCATCGGAGTCACATTGGAGCCATAGTGACACAGTCTTGGGGTCAACTAGGGTTTAAAAGGGCTCATCTTTGGGCAATCTCGAAACGTCTCGGGCTCACGGAGTCGTCCCGGGGCCACCTCGGAAAAAATTGGGGTCACGCGGAAGCCTTAGTTTCAGTCGGAAGACAATTGGGTTCGTCTCGGTGCTCTCTTGGGGCCGCAGGGTCGCTCTGGGTGGCATCTTGGGGCAACAGGGGGAATCTCGTGATCCTTTCGGAATCCTTGTGGGTCCATCTTGGAATCGTATTTCCGGTGCTGCCTCTCGTTGCTGTTGCTACAGATGTTGCTGTTGTTGCTGGCGTTGATGCTGCTGGTGCTGCCTGGGCTGCCCGTGGTGCTGGTGCTGGTGCTGCGTTAAATATCGGGCCCTCTTGGAGCCGTCTTGGGGCCCTCTTGGGGCCCTCCTGGGCCTCTCGGGGCCCTGCGGGAGCCCTCTGAGGACCCTTGAAAGGCCTTCGAGAAAACCAAACATTCAATGCAATTTCAACACAAACCGCCTCTTTGGGGCCCTCCTGGCGGGGGTGCCGTGCCGGGATGAAGTGGTCGGAGCTCTAGACAGCCAGTGCAAGAGAATAAATGCACAACAACCTCAGGATTCCCTTCTATTTTCCCATGTTTCTGGGTTTTCGTCTTCTCCCCACTTCCCATCTTTTTCTATATTTTCTGGGGAATCGACGATTGATCGTGTCTGTGCTTTTTTTCCCATCCTGAAGCTGGAACATTTACCGTCCTGCTGTGCTCCCTGATACCTGCCGACCTGACATCCGCCCGCCTGATTTTTTTCCATCTGCGGCCCCAGAACTCTCTCCATTTGGGCAACGCTGAAGGGGGGGGGGGGGGGGGGGCGACAAACGGGGGTGGAAGAACAGCACTTCTCGGGTCCTCGATGCCCCCTTTTGTGCCCCAAAGGGCGCCTTTGGGACTCCTCGCAGGGCCCTTCCTCTGCAGCCCTCGCTGCCCCCCTTTCTACCGCCCCCCCATTTGCGCGGCGCCCAGCCAGAACTGTCCGACCCTTTCCCCGGGGTGGTTCTGCGTCCCGCACCTGCTCTGGATGGCCCCGGGGCCCGATGGCGGGCCCAGGAGTAGGGGGCCACATGCGAACCCTACCCCATACCCCCCACGATTTCTGAGGGGGAGGGTGGGGTTCACTTCGCTCGGGGGCTCCCAGACGAAGTGAACCCCACCCTCCCCCTCAGAAATCGTGGGGGGTAGGGGTAGGGGCAGGGTTCGCATGTGGCCCCCTGAGGAGGCCGAAATCTGGGACAAGCGCTGGGTCTGCACGGACGCGTGCGACAAGGCCGCCTCGTCGGAGGCCCGGGCCCGTGACGACGCAGGCCCCCCCGGGGACGGCGGAGTGCTGCGGCAGAGGCCGCGTCCTCCGGCACGGGTGCGGTGCGCGGGGCCGCTGCGCACGCGCCTCACCCTCCCCCTCCCCCTCCCCCCCCTCCTCTTCCTCCTCCTCCTCCTCCTCCTCCTCCTCCTCCTCCTCCTCCCTCCTTCCCTTGCTCCCCCTGGTGAGCAGTCATCGCCCCCCGCCCTTTCGGCGGAGATTGGCCACTTCCCGCCCCTGGAGGTGACGGCCCCAGCCCCAGAGATGCGAAGCGTGGCTTGCGCCTCAGCGCCGCGCACATTCGTGATGGGGTGGTCTCCCCACCCGACATGGGGGAAGGCGGGTCCTGAGGGAAGCGGATCCTGTACCCTGGGGCCTTCCCACAGCACGAGGTCTTCATCCCGAGTCGTTTCCTGACGGTCCTGGGGCCCGTGGAGGGCCCTGGGGAGCCCAAAGCGGCGACAAACTTCGGGACCCGCTTCCTTCAGGACCCGCGTCCCCCATGGCGACCCACTTCAAAGAGAACCCGCCGGTTTTATAGCGATGCCCAGCTTGCTGGTCTTTTCAAGGCGCACATTCTGTCATGCATTGAATGCCGCACGAGCGCTGTGAACCACACGTCGTCGTCTATGTTAGCTCCTCTTGACGCTCTTCAGACGCGATGCTTAAACTCGCTTGATACTTCTGCCACAGATGCGCTGCTATACTTTCTGGATCCTTTACACACAAGAAGAGACATCAGTATTCTTGGAGCGATCTACAGGACAGGGACAGGTCAATGGGGGCGCGCATCATGATCCAGATCGCGGCCCCGCTGGCTGATCTGCCGCAGCCCTTCCTTTCCTTCACGCTCCGCGGCGCTTCCCCGAGGCGCGCCGGCGGTCTCGGGGCCCGGGTCAGTCCAGCAAGCTGGCCGGCCCGACGCCGACGCCCTGTTGCGATGCGGGAAACAAGAATGCGGAAGCGAAGAAGGGAGCAAGGGAAGGAGGGAGGAGGAGGAGGAGGAGGAGCAGGAGGAGGAGGAGGAGGAGGAGGAGGAGGAGGAGGAGGAAGAGGAGGATGAGGATGAGGAGGAGGAGGAGGAGGAGGAGGAGGAGGAGGAAGAGTAGGAGGAGGAGGAGGGAGGAGGAGGAGGAGGAGGAGGAGGAGGAGGAGGGGGAGGAGCGAGCGAGCATAAAGGGAAGGGGAAAGGGGGAGTGAATGGGGGAGGAGCCAGTGCCGGCGCTCGCGCCAGCCTCTCCTCACCGTCGCCGTCGCCGCCGCCGCCGCCACCGCCGCCGCCACCGCGTCGTCGTCGTCGTCGTCGTCGTCGTCGTCGTCGTCCCCCCCTCCCCCTTCCCCCCGGAAGAGCGAAGCACGCGGAAGCGGACGGTGCGTAGATGGTGATCGTTCTGAGAATGAAGATAGAGGTGGCGAGTGGATCAATGAGAAGGGCGGGGGAGGACATGGAAGACCTGGAGAGGAAGAGTGTGAGGAGGAAGAGGACCGATAGTATATGGGACAACGGATGAAGAATAGCAGGCAGATGAGAGGAAGCATGAGGAAGCAGAGGATGACGATGCCCAGTTCCCATGTTTCGCATCCGCGGCGGGGGGAATCAACACAACGGGACCAAGTCGGGCTGGCAGAGCAACCGACCTGGGGATTACCCCACAAAGCGATGCTGATGCTGATCCACCCCTGAACCCCTAGCAGCCCCGAAGCGCGACATCGAACTCGCCTGCCCTCCGTGGCCTGGCCGCCGTGTCTGCTCCAGATCGGTGCCGAGCTCGGATCGAAAATGAGCGGACGAGCTCGAGGCGATGCAGAGCGCTCGTCGGCGCCTCCACACCCGAAGACCATGATTGGATTACGCCTTACGCCGGAAGCTGCGACGACGGCGCCGACTTCGGGCACGGCTCCTGCGTGATAGTTCCCTTCGCTCGGACTCGTGGGCCGTCTCGCGCGCTTCCTGGGCCGTGTTGGGGCCGCCCTGGGCCTCTATTGGAGCGCTCCTGGGCATCCTGGGTGGCTTCTTGCCGTCCTCGTGGGAAAAACGGTGGAAGCCTCTGGGAACAAAAGGGGCAGGGGGAGGGGGTCAAGGAGGAGGAGGGAGTTGGAGTTGGAGTTGGAGTTGGAGTTCGAGTAGGAGTAGGAGTAGTAGTAGTAGTAGTAGTAGGAGTAGGAGTAGGAGTAGGAGGAGGAGGAGGAGGAGGAGGAGGAGGAGGAGGAGGAGGAGGAGGAGGAGGACCAGTGTAAACCCAAGAGTCATCAACGATGTTGGAATTAACCCTCCCTCTAAGCTCCCCTCCATAGGCCCCTACAACGGTTCATCTCCATTGCGGGAACTGCCTCGTTGAAAGACAAC